TCAAGGGAATAAATTCAACTAAAGATCTGGGAAGCCGGTTAAGCGTCTGCCTCTTGGTTTCGGCTCAGGGTGTGATCTCGCGGTTCAGTAGTTTGAGCCCCACGTCGCGCTCTCTGCTGACAGTGTGGAGCCTGCTTGGGACCCCCTCTCTCCCTCTCTCTCTCTCTCTCTCTGCCCCTCCCCTGCTCTCGCTCACTCTCTCTCTCAAAATAAATAAATAAACAAATTTAAATTCAACTAAAGATCTAAGTAAAAACTTTCAAAGAAGTCTAGGTGGGCTTCCTGCCGAGAAGAAGCGGGAAATCCCACCCTAGGGACTCCTGGCGGTTTTGACAAACAGGTCCGGGTGGGGAGAGTGGGGCCCAGGCCCTGGGGGCAGGGGTCACACAGGAGGAGTACAGATCTAGGGACCTTTCTTGCTGATGCTCCAAAAGTCATGGATGAATTGGCAAGTCAGATCCTAAAGAAATCAGCACGCCTCAGGATTGTTTCCCGTAAAGTTAAAAGACAACGGGGTTCATGTGACTTTTCTCTTAATAACTGATTAATAAATCAGCAAAACTCTTCACCTCCTTCGTACGATAAGGAGATTGTTCGTGGAATTTTCTGTTCTGGAGCTGATTGGTGGAGGAACAGCCCGTGCCCCCTGGAGAGCATTCAGCAGTCCCCAGCCGGCCGCTACCCCTCCTCGGACACCTGTGCTGTCCAAAGCGCAGCAAAAGCAGGACTGAACTGTCCCCCCCAGCCATGAAGCATCCACCTGTCACAGGGCACGGGGAGCTGAACCATCTCGCAGCCCCAGGGAGCACAGACGTGTTCAACCCTCCAGATGGGCGAAGGAGCTTTGCCCGTTTACATGAGCCATCTGAAAATAAGCCAGTGTTTCTCAGGAAGGCCCGAAAAACTTATAAGATGCAATCCCTGAAGCCCCAATAGGCTGCCCTCCAGATTTAGGCCATAAGTAGGTTTTATTATCAAGAAAAAATTGCTGCCTCTGCTCCGCCTGTAGCCCTGCTCTCCAGAAAAATCTGTGGTTGAGCAAGGGCTTGGGGGCATCCTTGCACGTTCAAGGACTGATGTGATCTGTTTTCCACAGGTGGAGTCTGTTTTTTATTCTGCACAGGCAAACAGGCACCCGGCATGTTATTTCTTGCCCTCTGAGGTTAAGGCTGTGGGGCATACGAGAGAAACTGCTGGAAGCTGTTCCACTGCCCTGGAGGAGTCTGCAGTCTTGGGAGAAAGTTGAGCCGCGCACACAGGGGCTCATGAGAGGCCAGAGAAAAGGCAGCTGTGAAGGGTCAGGGCAGGGCTGAAGTGATGGGGTGGGGGTGATCGTGTGGGCACGTGCCTGCCCCCCACCGTCTGTGTATCTGCACTGGGCCGGGGCGCACGCCGTGGCACGGTTTCTGCTCTTTGTTATTTTTAACGAGTCATTTCTAACACTGAAGGATCAGGGGATTTCACGCAAGGGCCAGGTGTCTTGTGTGTGGCCTGGGCTTTCAAGGGCTCACCGCTCCCTGAAGCCTTACACTCAGTCTGCTTCCCTCTGTCCGGTTAGCGAGCAGGGCCCCCTAGATGCTGGAATTTGCAACCCGTGTGCATTATATTGAATAACGGCCCCCAAACGTATCTAGGGTCTCATCGCTGGAAACTGTGAGTGGCGATGCCACTGAATTAAGGATCTTGAGATAGGGAGATTCTTATATATAATCACAATAATTATGGAAGACCTTAAATATAATCACAAGTGTCCTTAAAAGAGGGAGACAGAGGGAGATTTGACTACAGAAGACAAGAAGGCAAAGGGACAACAGAAGTGGAGAGTAGAATCATGTGGCCGGAAGCCAAGGGATGCCAGCAGCCACCAGAAGACAGAAGAGGCGGGGTGCCTGGGTGGCTCGGTGGGTTAAGCCTCCGACTCTTGATTTCGGCTCGGGTCACAGTCTCACGGTTTGTGAGATCAAGCCCCCGCACTGGGCTCTGCGCTGTAAGCGCTTGGGATTCTCTCTTTGCCGCTCGCTCTGCCCCTCCCCCATGTGCGCATGCTCTTTCTCTCTCTCAAGATAAATAAATAAACTTAAAAAAAAAAAAAAAAAAAGGGAAGACAGAAAAGACAAGAAACATTTCTCCCCTGGAATCTCCAGAAGGAAACAGCCGTGTTGATACCTTTGATTTTAGCCCCATGAGACTCATTTTGGGTGTCCAGCCTCCAGGACTACAGGAGAATAAACTGCTGTTGTTTTAGCCAATAAGGTGGTGGTACGTTTGTTACAGCAGCAACAAGAAGCTAATACACCCTGTCAATTAATGAATCAACAAATGCCTTGAGCGCCCAGAATACAGAGGCAGACCCTCCCGTCCAGAGCTTATAGGAGAGGACAGTAGAGCGTGATCTGAGCAGGGAGATGGGAGGGTTCCTAGGAACTCTGGGAACACCCCTGCGGAATTTCTACCCCAGGCCTGGAGACTCCAGGGGAGGCTCTTCTCCAGCTTCATTTCCAGGGGACACGCATGTATCCATCTTTGTGGGACAGCGGAACGCCACCACGGCTGGGGGGAATGCTGAGGCCAGGGGACAGCACGTGGGGACCAGGGGACTCCTTACCTCGCGTGTTGGATGAACTGGGTAGCTTTCTCCGCGTATTTCTGCGCGAGACCGCTCAGGTTCACCGGCTGCTCCACGATGTTGAGGTTTTCATACAGAGGAAGGGCCACGTCCGTGTAACAGTCCCTCTCGTGGGTCCTGTGCGGGAACCACAGACAGCATTCATTTCCGCGATTGAAACAGCCGTGGTGTAGAACAAAATGCTTTTATGCGGCAACACACGTAAAGACAAAACACTTAATAACCTGGCCCCAGATGATTTGTCCAGTCTGCCATTTCCTCCAAGGGTAAAACCAATAAAACACCTTCTCTTCTCTGCCAACAACGATTATGCTCCTCAGACAGGCCTGGCCACTCCGCAAAGCTCACAAAGTCTTCCGTGAGCTACAGAAATCGTTCCTCCCATTTTGTCGGGAGAGAAACTGAGGTCCAAACAAACTAAATTACTCAAGCAGAGTCCCATAGCCAATGAATAGCCCCCATCCCTGGCTCTCTCCACTGACCTCCCTAAATGATGCCTTCCATCTCTGGGGTGCTAATGCTTGGTGCTTTCCTAGGTCGGCCATTGGGACTCTGTGTGACATCTAACAAAAACACAGATGGCCAGGGACAACTTAAAAGTTTCAAACCATGTTAGGAGAATTGGGAGAAGCTTTAGCCATTGGAAAAAGTGGGGGTCAAACCAGTTTTATCTCCTGAAAAAAAAAAAAACAAAAAAACCCTCAGCCCTTGGTCTTATAGATGGAGACGAACCTCGCATGCGAATGTCCCAACACATGTGGCTGAATTAGGACTCTGGCCGTGACCGTGGCAAATCACCTAAGCTTTTTTTATTTTTAAAGCAAGATTCTGGTTTTTTTTTTAATGTTTATTTATTTTTGAGAGAGACAGAGAGACACAGGTGCAAGCAGGGGAGGGGCAGAGAGAGAGGGAGACGCAGAATCCGAAGCAGGCTCCCGGCTCTGAGCCGTCAGCACGGAGCCCAACGTGGGGCTCCAACTCACGAACCATGAGATCACGACCTG